CCCCACCCCCCCCCCCCCCCCCCCCCCCCCCCCCAGCCACGTGCTACTGGGCAGTGCTACCCAGCGAGCGCCGGCGCGAAATAGTACAGGCAGAGATGATAGAGCGGAGCGCTGGAACGGTAAGGCACCATAGATCATCAGCCGAGCGGATGCGAGTTATTGTAGTTGCCGATTGTGGCGGTGAGTGTTGTGTGGTGGGCAGTGTTTTGGGCTCGCTGTGGTAATTGTTGTTGCGGTGCATCTTCGATTCGGCGCTTCGTTTTCCGGTGATGCGTATCGTTGCTGTTGAGCTGCCCATCAGCAAATGCAGCACAGTGTTGTAGCTTATGCCAAGGCTTGTAACTGTCCGATTTCAGGAAACACTGACCATGACCACTGACGCTTCTTCTTCTTGCATAGGCATCAAGTGGAATCACTTCGGCCTGTTCAGGCGTTTCCAGATCCCGTTGAGCGATGCACCAGAACGTGATATTTATAAGGAGCTGCTTGCGAAAATAAGCACCTCCGTGCCGGATTTCAGTGGGAGATTAGCTTGGAAAGGTAAGCTTTATAATTTTTCGGATTGCTAGCTTTCTGTGCTCTCGCGGAGCAAGTGATTACTTGCTAGTCCTTGGTCGTCTCGATGTGACTTGGGGCCTCATTGGTGAAGATGTCGCTGATCTCCTGCAGAGGGCATTCATCAGTAAATTCATTTCTTCGTTCTTCTAGCGGTGCAGGCGTACTGCCCGTGGAGGAGGTGGTAGAGGGGAAGAAGCAGGGAATTGATGGATCGCCGTTGTATGTTACGGTACAAGTTCGTTGGATTCGTCTTCGCTTCGATGTTGTATATGCTGTAATGCCCTGTTTCCTTCAGAAATGTGCTCTTCTTTTCACGGAAATGTCCTGGAACGACTTGTGAGTGTTTGCTGGGTCCGCGACACTGCTAAGAAGTGTCTTTTTTTAGATGAAGATGGGGACATGATATGCTTCTCGTCAGCGGATGAGATGCGTGCCGCAATAGCGATGTGCGGTGACCGGCTGTTTCGTATTCATACAATCAAAGGTCAGCATTATTTGGGCTGATTCCACGCATCTATTGTAAATTTTTGGATTGAGAAAATTTTCACAATTTTAAATAAATGGCAACGCACGGGCTGCCCGTGCGAAGA